TGGGAGCAGCCGCTGAGCTTGCACCAGGGGTGGGGCTGCCCAGACGGTTTCCGCTACCCGAGAAGGGAACGTACTTCTTCTTTGGCTTCTTGTAGTCCTCGTCCTTGTGCGCGTGCACTTCGACATCCACCTCCTGGCCGTGTTCTACATTGAGAATATGCAATGGAGCGTGGCCCGTGTTGATCATCTCCAATGTACGTGCGTTGGCCGGGTCATCGTACCGGAACAGGTCGCCGTCGTCGACTGAGAAGCCGTCACGCCAGAGGTGAAGCTCGCGGTGGGCGCGCGGGGGCGGTGCGGGGATGTTGGCAGTGGGGTCTGGAATGGTTCGGGAGGGAGCATCATCGCCTCCAAGGGTAGTACCTGCGCCACGGAAATGAGAGGAACTGGCGGGCTGCTCCTCGTCACCGCCTGGTCGGGGAGCGTTCCTGCGCTTGTTAGCTGGAGTGGCCTAAACGACGCTTGGCCGGCTTACTGTCGTGCGCGCTTCAGGATGTTGTTGATCTGATCGCGCGGATTTGACTGGTTTGGGTTCTGAACGGCAAGACCTGACTTCTCACCACCGGCGAAGAAGTCCTGGTTCTCATCATCAGGGTTCTCGTCGTCATCGTCGTCATCATGGGCGTGTCCGTGTCCGCCACCTGATGACTGGAGGTCCCTAAGCGTCCGCGCACCTGCTACGCCCCTCTGGGCAGGCTGTCCACGAGCAGCAGCAGGCTGCGACGATGATCGAGATGACTCTGGCGCAGGGGAGGGTACATATGCGCCCCCGAGAGTGCGCCCTCCACCAGCTCCTTGGGGCACACTGGGAGCGTCTGTGTTTGACTCGTCACCAGCCATATCGACGTCTGGTTCGGAAGCGTCGTCTTGTTGTTCGGCCGATTCGTCGAAGAAGAGGGATGCAGCGAGGGTGAGGTCTCCGTTGGAGGCGTTCAAGTAGCGTTCTGCCTGTTCTTTGTGTGAGTGAACAGCTCCAATAGCTTCGATGAGCTTCCATCAACATACGGTTGCGGGATCGAGGCCAGTCAGGCTAGCAAGCTGAGCAATGAGAGCGTCTTGGTCGGGGGCAGCTTCAGACATGACAGCGTAGTAATGCTGCTGTTGAAGATGAGGGTAGTGGCGTGGTTGGTGGCTTGGACGCGTTGGTTGACTGCGGTGGGGTCTATGTAAACTCAGGGCGGGCTTTTAGGTACCTACCGCAGGCGGTAGCTGGTGACGTCGCTTGCTCGCCGTTGACATTCACCGCGAAACACAAACAAAGTCGATGCAAGTCACCTTTTTAAACAACAACCAGATAACATGGTAATAAGACTTCAGGATTTCTCTATGGCTCCGAAGATTTGTCTGCCAATGAGCCGTTTAGACCTTGACATGCAGCACCTTTCGAAGTGCATTAAAGTTCCGAGATAGTGCCAAGGCCGGAATTAATGTGAGCCTCATCAACACCTCGAGCAGCAACCTCGGGACTGTCGCGCACTACGAACCACGCGCGTCAGTGGACCATTCCTTGCCCAGTCGGCGACACACCACGTCAATCGACAATATCTGACTGTCAACATACCCCCGCCCGACCAAATCAACCTCGCGCCGTCCTCCGCATCACCTCCGCGTGGGGCTCTAGCACCCATCCAGCACCCAGCACCTAGCATCCAGCATCCACCACCAGCCTACCTCCCACCACCCACCACCCAATCTCTCCCCAATCACCCCACCCACCATGGCCGACGCCACTAACCTCACCGAATCCGGCATAACCATCCCCTCGGACAGCGAAAACTACGACGCAAACAACGAGCTCACCTCCTCCTCGCCCGAATCCGCATCCTCAAGTTCAACACCCCTGATCCTCTACAAGCCACCCACAATATGGGGTCTACTCCGCGGCGCAGCGATAAACCTCTTCTTGCCGTTTGTCAACGGGCTCATGTTGGGTTTTGGCGAGTTGGTCGCGAATGAGGCGGCGTATCGGTTGGGGTGGAGTGGTACCAAGGTATGTCAACGTCAATGGAAGAGTATTGATAGGATAAAGTGGTCATACTTTGTATTTGGGAATGATGCTAATCATTATGTGCTACCAGATATTCCCGACTCATCGCTCCGGAGCCGATTCCAGGCGCGTGGGACCAGGCGTGGAGATGCGAGCGGATCCTGTGGAGCGGAGGAGGAGGAATGGTCAGGAGCTGGATATGTACACGTCGCTGGAGTAGATGGGCAGTGCAAGGGGAGGTGTAGAGCCTGGAGACGTATCTGTATATACCAGTGCAATCAATGGCATTGCGTTCAGAGGCATCACCTTTCGTCTTGGAGTTGATTGAATCACAGTCGAGTTGTCTTCGTTTCAAGCATGGTTACGAACGAGAGTTGGAATCGCAAACGAGCTTTCGATGCATTCAAAAACTGTAAACACCCATACGTCCAAGATCCGAGCAGGAGCACATGCGTCTCTTAGTATTTATACAAAATCTCTCGCTATGCGTATCAAACAACTCCCAGTCCTTTTGGAGATGCACGTACTACTAACACAAGGTCCAACACGCGTATATCATACATGGCCGTCCACATCTCCGACACGTCTCTATTGCCTATTTTGGAACCTGCGTCTCCTCTCAATCTCGTAATCATCAGCCCTCTTCTTCCTCCTGTACTCCTCGGGTGACATCTTCTTGTCTCCAAAGCCCATAGACCTCATGAAGCGATCCACGCCGTTGCCCGTTCGCCTCCAGATGTAGGCAAGGCGGTAGTTTCTGCGGTAGTAGTCCAGCTTCTCGCTGATTGGCTTGCCTTTGGCACCTTCCTCGAAATCGATGTCCCGGTCAGGATATTCCGTGTCGATCGTCTTGGGTACCTCCGTCTTGAGATGCGCAGGTAGGGCAACTCCGGATTTGATGTTGATGCCGGACAACTGGCGACGGTTCATCGGGGCTGCTTTGCGGGTGGGTGGCTGGTAACGAGCCCTGCCATCGGCTCCCTTAACTTGACTCAACTTCGCCTCTCCCTTGACGACTTTGCTGTAAAGCTCGTTGCTCTCTTTGCTGGGTAGCGGTCGAATACCAATGAATTTTCTGAAACCATTCTGGCGAAGCAACCAACCAGTTAAACCGCCCATAATACCGGACATCAGGAAGTAGAGTTGGAGAGCAGAGGCCTGAAAAGCGGTGGCAACACCGAGGAAGACGGATAAACCAGTGAAAATCTTTTGACGTGTAACTGCCTGGGCTGTATCGGGCTGCACACCAGTTTCACCTCCGGTCTATTCAGTGTGTCAGTAAGGTGAGAGCATCGTTCAAGAGTATAGACTTGCCTTGAAAACAGTATACATGATGGCTGAAGTTGCAGCCGGTAAGATGAAGTAAGGGTCGCGGTTGCTCAGATCGGTGAACCACAGAAAGCCATCATGCGCCATGCCGGGGACGGGCAGGTCAGCCATAGCCCTTAGGAATCTGAAGGCGGCAAATCCAATCCAGGCTTGCGCGATCATGAAACCTCCAGTGGCAAGCATACCTCCTACGTAGGGCTTCATGATTGCGGCCTGCTGCATCTTGTATAGATCGGCCTGTTGCTTGTCACCTCGAGCAAGGGCAGCCTCCATCTTCTCTTGTATAGGCTTGGTAACGGGTGCCAGTGAAGACATAACTGCCATCTTGTCTGAGCTCGCAGCCTGGAGCACGAAAGTCGTGCAACGGACAACGACACCGGCAGCAATGATGGAACCAGCCCAGCCCATGCCTGACTGTAGGTAGATGGTTTCGATGCACTTCTCGAACAGAGTCGTCATACCCCAGCCGTAATCGAGACCCAATTCCTGCAATTGTCCAGCGTGATCGATGAGCCGAGTGGGATCAATCTCGGCTGTGGGGAGCGTGTCCTTGACGGGCTCAGCATCGAAGAGAGTGTCGAGTGTCTTGGGTTCCGTCAACGTAGGCGCGCTGTCTACTGCCGCCTTGGCAGGCGCGACTGCTCCATCCACGACGGCGGGCTTGTCGATAGCTGCAGGAGCGAGCTCGGGAGTAGACGTGGTGACGACAGGCTCTGCGTGTTGTCGCGCAAACTCGGAGACGGGACGGTGCGAGAATTCGGCGATGGGGACGCGGTCGGCGGGTGTGAGAGAGCTGGCGTCGACGGGACCGCTGGACTTTCCCCAGCTCCAAGGAGCATACCATGAGGCGTTTCGGACGGATGATGCACTCATCATGACATTATGGGTTCGGTTCGCGCCCGATTTCCACAGCGCTGACTGCAGCGGGCTCGTTCGACATGATGGGCCTGTGAGGTTCGCAGTTCGGGGAAGGGACGAAAACTACTGCAATTAGCAATTGCAACATGGCGGCCCTAATTTGGCTGTTGTGCAGAAGGAGGATCATAGACAAGGTACTGGGCGAGTTGTATGCGAGAACGCGTGTGTGAATTGAACGAAGCGGGCAGTGGAATTCGCAGATGCGCACCTTCCTTGTAGCATTGGTCCGTAAGACTGTCGACTGTCGTGAGGCCAAAGGCGCAAGCTGGGCCGGCCGCAGCCCTCTACTTGGAAGCATTGCGATGTGTCGTCCGCCGTCGTCGATGACCAGCATCGGCTTAGAAAAGTCGAGTGCACGGACGCCTCAGTAGCGCATTTCGAGCAAACCTCCGAGATCCCCGCATCATCATGCCCACAACCCACGGACAGCCATCATCACATCACACATCACCAAATTGTCATTGGTCAGATTGTTGCATTATGAGTTCATTATCGAACATGGATTTAGCACCCGAGTCTCTCTACGCCTGTTCTGGGTATGTCGGCCAGTAGCCCTGTCTGCTCCCTAACACCCCTCTGATGCAATAAGCAGTCCATCATCTGACATGATGAAGTAAAAGACAATGCTAAAAACAACAGTCGTAGAACCCCGACTCAAACAATGATGAACCGTATTGTACAACGATCCTTGCCGTACGCCCCTAGGATGCTATTGAGAAATTATGCACCATGATTCTGGCGTCCGTGGCGTATAGCCGTCAGACTTCTAGTCCATGTAGTTGTTGCCTTCGGTGACAGCCAGTGCCTCTTCTGCCTGACCGCCACCCATTTCCATCGCTTCGCCAAACATCTCATGTCCACTATTTGAGCTCTTGAAGGGGTCTTGCATGGGACTAGTTGGAGCTGCGGGCCCTGAACTCTCAAAAAGACCTGGGTCTAGAGGCGCAATCGATGAAGAGCCGCTGAAATTCAGTGGAGCACTCGTAGCAAATGTGGGCGAGTTGTTGAACGTAGACGTGGTGGTAGTGTTGAAGTACTCGCTGCTTTCACCCTCGGGTTGACCTTGACGAGGCTCACCGGGTGGAGTATGCGACTGTTCAGCGGCGCCCGACGGGTTGCTCGGTGGCTTCTCTCCATCCTTGCGCTTGAACTGATGGGTTTTGGTTTTGAGGTGCTGTGGGAGGTCGTCTGGATTGGTAATGCCCAACTGACTCATGAGCTTTTGCTGCTTCGTCGGTCGCGGCTTACGTGTAGACAGAGACACTTGCAGAATAGGCGGTGGTGTCGGGGCTACTGGTGCCCATTTGTGCAACTCTTGGCGGAAGAAGTTGATCTCGTTCGAGAGAAGAATTTCGGCACCCTCAAGCTTCCGAAGGTAGAATCGTTGGGTAGTAAGTTCATCAGGGCTTGACATCAACGGGTTGATGTATCGCGCGACGTACTCCCGGAACCTAGTACCGTGCTCGATCAGCGAGTCCAGTGTTTCCTCTTCCTCGGGTTGGAATGGCAACCCGGGGACCTCGTCCTGCCAAAGCTGGAGGTCCTCGAGTTTTGGGCGGGTCGCATCGCGAGGAATCTTGACACGATAATCGCAGATGGGACATGTGTACTTGTCGTCCTCTTTGACTTTTCCGCGAGCGATCTTCAGGCACTTGCCGTGATACCTATCATTGTTAGTGCATAGATTTTGATGTAGAACAAGTCATCTTACCATTCGTGACACAATTCACACTCGATCATCATACCAGCTTCAGGTTTCCGACAGATACAGAAAACGTCTCGACTGGACAAGGGGCCGTCCTCCTCTTCTCCGTCGGCTGGGCTCTGTTCACGGGACGCGGGCTCTACGGGCATTCGAGGCTGGTCTCCCAAATCGAAGCAGGATCGATTACGCTCATCGACTTGTTTCATGTGCGCGTGTAGGATATGCAAGGGCGCGTTGGCTTTGCCAAAGAGCTTCTTTCCTCGCCTCATCCAATCTTCATGTCGCTTCTGCTCCTTCTCAAGGTCGTTTGTGCCATTGGGCTTTCCATTCAGCGCATTCAAAGACTCCATGGCGTTGCGGACCTCCATGTATTTTGGCCGTTGTGAGAAGTCCTGATTCTTGCTTCGCTCGTACAGAGACATGATCAGCTCTTGTGCATCTCGTTGTTTCTTCAATATGGCATCCATCGCGGCTCGAGTCTCTGGTGTTACCGGCAGATTGGTCGCTTGTTTGGAGAAGGCATCGAGTTGCTGATAATGCACGTTCTCCACTTCCATGAGCTCCTTCGCCTTCTTCTCCCAGAACTCACCTTGATCTTTCTTCTCTTGCAAGAAGCGAAGGTCAGGATGATGCTCTGGCATGCCGACTTCGATGCCGTTCTTGATGAGTTCGCCAACTTCTTGGAGCGTCGGCGCAGGCTTTACCTTGAAGTCCTGTGCCTCTTGGAGCCACTTCAACTGCTGAACCACCTTTTCGAGAGATTCGAGTTCAGGTAGGTCGACGTTGAAACCCTTGCCTTCTTCCAAAAGCTCGTCGAGCCGTGCGATACTCTGCTCGGGAGTGCGCTCGCGTAGAGCGGTGCGTGCTCTAGTCTGGAATTCGACAATGCTTTCAGCGCGTTCTCGGAGCGTAGTTATTTCCGGGCTATCGAACCCTAGATCTTTTGCCTGATTGAGAAGCTTTTGTATGTTCTCCACATTGCGATATTCGCGATCTTTCTCGTCTGCCTCGGCAACAGCCGACTTGCTTGGCCGTCCTCTTCCAGGACGCTCTGCTTTGCGACGGGCTTGTTGCTTCCGAGTGGTGTAAGAGGTAGCTTCATCAGCAACTTCCTGGCATTTCTCGACGAAATCTTTCAGATCCTGGAGACCGTTCAAGTCCCAGTCAATCTTCTCGCCTTCGTGCAAGAGCGCACGTAGGGACTTCAATTGAGGTCGAGGCCCCTCGGAAAGCAAAGCCTCAATCTTTGCCTCCCAGACTTCGGGTGTACTTGCTTTGTCGACAATCTTTTGCACCAGCGCATCAAGATCATCCTCCTGCATGCGATATACGAGCTTGTGTTGGAGCTTGGCTCCAGAGTAACGCTCGGCTTCTGGGGAGTCTTGACAACATTCAAACCATCCAGCGTGCTGTAGACACAAAACCTTCTTGGTCTTCGTGCAGTAGAAGCGAGACAGATAGCCGTATGATTTGCAGAAGGCACAAATCAATTCATCCTCATGCATGTCGGCATCATCGATGATAAAGTCGAGTTCGCAGGAGCCCCCGGCATTGCCAGTACCGTCAACTTTGCAAGTATGCGCTCTCGCAGCTTTGTGTTTGTCCAGGAATTCATCACGTATCCGTGACTCTCTGGCAAGCATTCGCTCCATCGCAGGAGCAAGCCACTTGGCAGTCTTGATGGTTGTGTCTTTGCGTGATGCTGCTGCCAGCAGTAGCTCGTCGTGAGAGAAGCATGGTTGACGGCGGTAATCCTGAAGGCGTTGAACTCCGTGCTCTCCAAACGGCTCCCAGTCGCTCGGCGCGAAGTTTACAGCTTCGTTCAAATTGAAGCCATGATTGAACCCGGCATGATAGGCTTCTGGGAAGGTTATTACAAACTCTCCAGCACGTTGGTCGATAGCATAGACTCTAACACCAGCCTTCAAGAGTTGCTCGGGAGTCAACAGCGTCACGAGCTGGAACAAGAGATCTGGCTGGCTCTCAAACAGTTCTGGTACAGCTTCACGCATGGCTTGCTCGAACTTTTCGGTGTCCTCGGCTGGTACGCCGTACCATGTCTTGGTAGCGCCAAAATGTTGATAATTTGCTGAATACGTGTAGTGGTCCTCCGCATGCCAGCAAAAGGTCGAGAATACCATGCCCACGTATAACCAGGGTACGGTCATACCTGAGATGTCGGACTTGATGTGGCGGAAAAGCGAATCTGGTGCATAGGGCAGTACAGTCAAGTTCCATGGATCGGTCGAGTAGGGGTCGCGTGGGTTCTTCTCTATAGTTGGGAAGCCACTTCCGTGTGTCGTGGAATGTATGTCTGCTCCATACTCTACTTCGACTGTCTCCGTAACGTTCGCAACAGAATGCCAGAACTCACGTTCTACATCATCTTCAGTAACTGGTTTTGGCAAATTGGTGACCGGATCAAAGGCCGTCTTGCCGACGAAGTGATTCTGCTTGAATAGCTGGGCTCGTTCCTGGAACTGCTTGAGCGAGTAAATGCCCCCTTCTTCAAATCCAAACTCCCCTGTGCCTACGAGACATCTAGGGCAGTGCCAGTCGTATGCAGGGATAGCCTTGATGGGTGGGTCCAAGCAAGAACCATGGTAACCAGCGTCGCAGCTGTCGCAAAGTAGGATATTCTGAGGGTCGTTGTCGGTACCGCAAGTCTCGCATCGGTCACCAGGTCTATCGTCGGCTGATCGAACGCGTGGGAAAGTTCGACTGGGGGTCGACTGACGAGGCTGTGTCATGTGTGAGCCCGCAACGGTAGGGGGGGCGTCCTTTTTGAGCCGCTTGCTACGTCGGCCGTTTGCTTCATCCACATCGTCGTTTGCACTGCTCTCTGGGTCCTGGGAAAAGGTTCGCTTCAGCTGGTTGAAATGCTGCCCATTGGCTAGCGGGGTCAGGCCGGCTCCGGGCGGTCTGAAGTCCGGGGTGTTGTCAGCTGAGAGCATGGGACTGCCAGCATTGCGCAAAGGTGTCGACGTGCGCGATTCCAGCACATCTCGATGTATCGCACTCGGCAAATTCGCCGCAGTAAAAGTACTAGGTGTGGATGGTTGTGTAGACGGCTTTTGTGCTGAGTTCGCATTGACCGCTGTGAAGCCTCCCGAGTTCACCGGTGTGAAGCCCCCCTGCATGGCAGGTCGTGAGAGCTCTGGTGGTGGAGTAGGCACAGAGTCACCCTGCAGTGTCGCGTTCAGCGCCGCTGAGGCTCGCATAGCCGGTGACTCTGCAGCGTTGGCGACAGGCGTACCCTGTAGCGATTTCTTTATGGGCGAATGGGCTGGTGACGGTGTGAAGGGTCCGCCATGCTCGTACTCCAGCATCTGCTGCACACCAGGTTTGACGAGTCGCAGATATTCCTCGTATGGGTGTAGCCATTTCTGATACGAGTTTTTGAGCGACGTCGACAGTGAAGACATTATCTTGCCGCTGTAGCCGAGGTCGCGTCCGATTTCAGCCCATTTCTTCTGCTTGCAAACACGTTCGAATCCACCTCTCTTCTCAACGGCCTTCTTGAGCTTGTAGAGATCCAAGGGGCGTTTGTCCACGCTCGGAAATCGAGTGAGGCTGTGGCCATGTTGCTTGTGGAATTTGGCGAGCTGATCGAGATAGTTCAAGTTGGCACGCGTGCCACCTTCAACCGAGTTGAGTTCCTGTCGCCGCGTGCGGAAGTGGAAGCGCTCAGTATCGATGGCGAATGGTGGCTTCCAGCTGTCTGGTGGGACAATCTTGACGATGCCGTACTTTTGCCCTTCTTCGCGAATGCTTTGGATGTATGCCACAGGGTCCTTGAACTGCTCGGCTGTCGGTCGATATGTGGGAGATTCGCGCAGGCCAAAAAGACGGTTCTGTTTGGGTGGCAGGTGGTTTGGCGCTCCATGTCCTCTGCGCTCCACGGTAGCGAGATCCAGCGGCGCTGCCTTGCGCGCGCTCAGAGGAATCGTGCTGGCCGCACTCGGCTGCGCACCATTCGTTGCAGGCACCGCAGCACCACCCATTCTAGATTTTGATGCGCCAGCTGCTGCGTCAGGCGTTCCACTGTCCGTGGCAACTCGAAAGGTAGTCATAGTGGCGCCCGTTGGGGGCCCGCCGGGGGGCATGAAATCGACCATAGTCTTCTTGCTCATGCATCAAGCGCTGTCGCTACGTGCAGCCCTAATTGCAGCCTCGTAACGAGATACGAGATGGTATGGAAGGTATAGCGATTGTCGTCGGGCGTGATTCGGTCGGTGGTGGGCGCTATCGAAGAGATATAGGCGTAGGCATGGGGCCTCTACAGCGGCAGGCGACCGCTTTCGGCCGCTTAGACTGTGCAATTCACTCGTAACAGAGGCAAATGCCAGTGCGACTAGAGAGTTGTCTGTTAGCGACCGTCGTGGTTGTGGCAGCACGTGCACAGCGAGGTTGGCGAGGCGAGGTGGAGGAGATATGGAGAGGATGGATGGGTCCGCTGAAGGGTGCGAGATTCCCGCTAACGGCGGATGCATATCACGCCCGCCCAACCTGGTACCGAACCCAGAACGTCGAAAGCTTGGTGCAGCAGGGCACGGCTAATATTATGCACGACGCTTCGACTCTGTGCGTCACATCGACGGAGACATGTAGAGCACTTCAAGTCAATACGTTCGTCGCATTGATGCGGCATCGAGATGCCACCTTGGACTGCAGTTGTGTGGTGAAGTCTGAGAGCTACGTCGTGCCGATCTGGCGACTGCACGCAAGGCTGCCGACCTCACCTCCTCGGCCTTTCTTTTGCGCCGCATTCTACCATGATGACGACCAGCGAACTACATTGGCTCCCAGAACAAGCACATATTGATCTGACTCAGATACAGTCCTTTGCGACTTACTTCTTCTTACTTTCCACTGTGAACACATGCACGGCTATCTTCGCCACTTGTTTGCATCACCATACCGGATCTCGAAACAACAAGCGTAGCAGTAGCAGCATTGCGCATTCCTATCGTATACTGTCGCGGTCTTTCTATCTCTGAGTTAAATTCACCTCGACGCCTGAACTGCTGCAGGTGAGGTCGGTAGCAAGGTTGTCTCGTCGGGAAGCACCCCAGCCCACCAATCACGACACACTTCATCTGCACCATCCCGTCAGCCCTAACTGGCGGCTGCACGCTTTGGGATGCGATCAACAATAACATCACGACTTCATCTTTGTCATGAACTCAATCATGGCCGACTCTGTCAAAATCGAAAGCCGGCCCATCCCAGCCTTCTACTGCTGTTACCTGCTCCGCTCCAAAAACCGAAAAGCATTCTACATTGGCAGCACCCCCAATCCGGCGCGTCGTCTAGGCCAGCACAATGGCTCAAGCAAGGGCGGCGCGAAGCGTACATCAATGCAGGGGAAGCGGCCGTGGGAGATGACGTGCATCGTTACTGGCTTCCCCTCCAGAGCCGCCGCGTTGCAATTCGAATGGGCGTGGCAAAACACGCACGCCACCCGACACATAGAGCGAGAGGTGCGCGACGCGAGGCTGGAGGAGCTTCAAAAAGGCAGAAAGAACCCATCACCAGTCAAAAGACCGCGACCACCAATGTCGCTGGAAGCGCGACTGAAGAATCTACACCATCTGTTAGGTGTCGGGAGTTTTAGCCGATGGCCGCTGAACATCCGTTTCTTCGCTCAGGACGTGTTCGCGCAATGGGAGAAACATATCTCTAAAATGAAGACGAAGTTACGAAAGGACGTTACCATCAGAGTGACACCGGCTGAGCTGCCCAAACTTGCACCGGATGTGCAGAGCGAGATGCGCACGCACTTCATTCCAGAAATAATACGAGCGATCCCCGTGGCGTACGAGGACTGTAAGGCACATGTCGAGAAGTCGAAGAACATTCTAGGAGATGGCCAAAAACGAACCTGTGTTGTTTGCAAATTAGGCACGAGTGCTGAGGACTCGCTTGCGCTGGTCTGCCCGGTAGAAACGTGCCGTGCAGTGTCGCATATGGCTTGTATGTCGCAGAAATTTCTTGCAGAGGAAAGCAATGCAGATGCGCTCATTCCAATCCAAGGAACATGTCCAAGCTGCCATACTTCGCTAAGATGGTCAGACTTGATGAAAGAGCTCAGTTTGCGCATGTACGGCGAGGAGGAGCTGAAAGTAATGTTCAAGACGAAGCGGAAGAAGAAGTCGGATGGAACAGTCGAAGAGGATGCGGAGGAGTTTCCAGACATTGACGAACTCGAGGTTGACCTGGACGAAGATCTCGATGAGACATGGGGGGAGAACGTGAACGACGACGAGGACAAGTGATCCTGCTTCATTCCTAGACGAGAACATCTACCACCCTTCCACCGTTCCTAGTGGCACCTGTCCTTTCGCAACCCGCTCAATACACCTATCAACCTCCTGTCTAATCTTCGCCGCCACATCCGTCATACTCTCGCCCGCATCGATGCGCACAAAGTCCTCGCCCTCCTTCTTTTGCATCATCGTCTCGAACAGCTCGCGCACACGATCCTGTATCTCCTTCTTTTCGTACTTCTCGGTACCATAGCCACCTCGTTTCGCAGCGTCGTCAGCAGAGATGTCAAGGAAGAGACACAAGTCAGGACGTGGAAGCCCGACTTCAGGTTTTCGGCACCATTCGAGGCTCATGCTGGGGTTTTGCTTGGCGGCGGAGTATACGCAGCCGCTGTAGTAGTAACGGTCTACGATTATTGTTGTTCCGGCTGCGAGGTCGGCTTGGATAGATGGTCTGGAGCACACGTTTAGACTCGAGGTTGAGGCGTAGTTGAAGATGTTTGACTTACACTGCTTCCCACCGATTTGCAGAAAACAGAAGGTGTATGACATGGTCGTCTTGCTCGCTCTGGCCACTCAGGTAGCTGTTGATCATTTTGCCAATCGGTGTCGTCCTATCTATATACCCTTTGTCAGTCTCCAACATAGTTTGATTCAACGTGCATCCACGCGCCAGCGAATGGCTCTCTATCCACGCGCACGTACCAGGGAACCGCATATGCCGCACCTTGATCCCATCGTTTTGCAGATCTTCAACCAGCATTTGACATTGCGTTGATTTGCCTGCGCGATCCAGGCCCTCGAACACTATGAGCTTGCCTCGCGCCATGTTGTGGGGTTTGTGATACAAGAGGTTGTTGTTACCCTGCAGCGGTTGATGCGCGATTGAAGCAAGGCGTTGGTGGGGCCTTCGCCACTCCGGCGCTATCTATGGATGGGCCGACCTTCACCACCTTACCATCGCGCTTCCACCATCCGTGTATTTTGACAACACCCTGCTAAGATGCTAGGGCGTTGATTGGTCACAAAGGCACTGACCGGTTTTCGAGCTGCATCTGCAGACGCGTGTCAGCGAACGAGCATGCGCAGCCACTGGTCAAAATTGGCCAGCCACTCGACACCTATAGGTACTGAGATGATAGAAAAGTATGCTGTGTCACTTTACCTCAAAACGAGAGCCGTATACCACAGGCGGGATGACACGTGGGTCAGCTTATGCATATGGGTGCATTGGTAAGAGGAGGCCTCAGCTGAGGGGAAATGCACGAGGCTTAAGGTAAAATCCCTTTTGTGTCCGTTCATCTTCCCCTCTTCCTCAGAAGCGATTCGGAATACATACTCATCTATCTCAAAACACCAATACTACGATACCCGGCAATTATCATGACAGAAATGGACGACGTCATCGCGAGACTCTCAAGGCTTGGTGTAATCACCTCAACCGATGAGGCACCCGGTTCTGTACTGAGTAAGGCGCCTAAAAGCAAATTCGCGGATGATACGTCTCTCGATAAGCCCGTCAAGGACGATTGCTCAGATAACTTCACGTCCTTCAAGTTCGCCCAGCTTTCGCGAGTGGATTCACACGAGGGAGGGGCAGACAATATCATCTCCAAGTCTCAACTCGCCCAAACGCAAGAAGAACTGCAACGAGTCGAAGCCGAGCTTCATCAAGCGAAAGACGAGATCGAAAAGCTGCGGCGTGAAGTCAAAAGCTACAAGCCGAAAATCGAATCGGTCACTAAGCCTACGCTTGTGCGAAGACGTATTAAACACAATGTCACAACGGCCACAGAAGCCAACGAAAGAGAATTCAAAGAGCGCATCCATTCGCTAACGACAGAGCTTGAGACGACAAAAGCCCAGTTGCATGATGTCAGCAAGAAGTTTGAAACGCAAACAGCTGAGCTATCGGAGGTCAAGACAGAATTGAATATAGCAAGACCCCAATTAGCCGCATTATCTCGACGAAGAAACGATAAAAGCCTCCAGTTTCGCATGGTCGAGCTCAAGGATGGGACGTTAGACACGCAGATTGACATGATAAGGACGTTTCATTATGGACCTAAGACTGCATACCCTTTTGGAGGACTTGTATACAGCAGACCAACCATCGCGTACATGGACTTACAAGATCGTCTTGCAAGGAACGGGAAGGATTGTCAAGAAGATTACATCGACTCATCATACTGGGCCACGAGAGCTTACAATATCTTCAAAAAGCTTGGGTCAGATTATGCTCCATCTTGGTTTCAGCATGCCGAACCACAGCTGATGGCATTGTGTGTCGACCATTTTTTGAAGACCACTCGGTTAAGTCTCGATCAGTTTAAGAACCTGGAGCCCGTGCGAGATGGTCTTGTATATTGCATGCCGGATGTGGTAAAGATTTCCGCCAGTAGAGGCACTTGCCGGGAGTGCAATGCACATCAGGTCTTGGTGAATGATTTCGCGGCGCATTATGGGTTTCAATTTGAGCTTACATAGGCAAACGATCCTGGTCCAAGAAATTTAGGGTGGAAATCCTTAAGTTTGGCCCCCAGTCTTTCCTGGTCAGGCCAAGCTATGGACGACGGTCACTGCCTGACGTTCGATTTAGTGACATATTTCTATGTTGAGCAAGACCATGCTATGTCTCTGCACGTTGGATATTTGTTTGCAATTCGCCGCTGTGAGCTATCACGCGCTTCATAGTCCAGTATGTTCCAGTATTTGCTGCTTGCGAAACCACGAAACACGAGAATTGCCGTGATTGCAAGCTGAATTATAGCAAACGAAGCGCATGAGGAATTTATAGGTTTACAGTCATGCATGCAGTGGACCACGAACCAACAATTCCTGAACCATGTCTACACCAGCTGTCGCAATCTGCTCTACTGCGCTCGAGGAGTTGAAGAGACCATGGTCTGCGACTACATTAACAGAAACTCAAGAACAGCGTCGATCAGACGTAGCCAGTGCGAAGATACTGTGGTCCCAAGTTTTGGTGGAGTTTCGGCAAAAGCAAGGAATGGCTGTCAAGAATTACAATCTCAGAAGGAAGAGGCAGCCGTTCTTCCAGTTCTTAGATCTACCTTGTGAGCTTCGCAACATGATATACGACATCTGCCTGGATAACGAGAAGACGAAAAGAAACCCTGATATGACGAAGAGGACGCGGGTTAATCGAGGATCAATGGGAAGCAAGACTTATTTGGACTATAACATACGGCAAAAGCGCGTAAAAGACATCCGCGCGCGAAAGCCGACCAGAGAGCATAGAGTGCGAGATGCCGTCCGAAAAGTTGCGCTCGAAAAGATTGTAGAGAGACGAGTCAAGCTCGCAACTCGTTCGAGGGATGGACTTACAGCTGGCGCCCACGAAGCCTTCTACTTGTACAAACTGGAGCACGACATGTATACTTTGCCATCAAAGAGGGTGACAGATGGCCAAAACAACCACGACCAAGGCATATTCAGGTCGGGCAACAGGACAACGAAGAAAGGTGTCCTGGAGATCGATGTCAGAGGCAACCTAGTCGACGACCTTCCGATGCTTTCCTATGTCGATCGTGCGATCTTTTCCGAAACCCTGTTCCTCTACTACTCCACGGTCAGAGAAGGTCTGTGGATCAAATGGACAGTCCGGAACCTGGACTTCTTCCCATTCCTGCGATTCTACCAGGCATTCACTAGGGGTGAAAACGCGGTCGAGATTCCACCTTCAAGACTGCACATTGAGTTCGACAAGGAGAAAGAGGAGACTGATGACGGTCTACATGCGAAGAAGTTTGTCCATGTAAAGAGACTGGTCGAGCTGCACTGGCTGGACGGCTTCCCACTCCGGGGCTGCTTAACCGGGTTATCTGATCGTCAAGATTGCAAGGGACCGTTCGGAGACTACATGTACTCTGTCCGCCAGGTCGTGGCGTTGTACCGGATTGACCACGAAGCTTGGAAGTCGCTCTCCGTCGAATACCTTCGCCGTTGTGAGGCAATGGGTGATGACGACGCTTTGGAGAGTGACTTCGCAACACTCTCCGATGCCGAGCTTGTTGAAGCAGTCATCGATATGCTATGTGGAGCGATCGAGTACAACCTTGGGTATACAGGCAGCTATGCACGAATTGGTCGCGATCAGACTGAGTGGGATCAAGATGTCTTCGAAACTTTCAGGTATAAGGGATCGCATGTCAGGACGGCTTATGAGAAAGAGCATGCGATTGTTCGTGTTGTCAGCCTGTATCAGAAGAAGGTCGACAGGACACTGCGGGATCGGCTGGGGGAGGTGTACGAGGATTGGGAGAGTGTTCCAGATGACGCGCTCATTCCTGAAGGGGTGGTGTTGTGATAGTACAGATAGATCGTAATATCTCTGCTTATGGCACATTGTTGGCGCCTTCATGTGTGCCCAGGTGAGATCGTCGCGCAAAAGCCGATGCCTGTTCAACTTCATCGAGCAAACGGGACACGGAACGTCGGGATTAACAAAGACTGGTTCCTCACATGTCTAGAACTGTAGTGCTGACATCGCGATACATCCGAAAAGTCCCCTTTGGTGTGTGATGAATCTCTCCGAGTTTGTGCCTGGCGAATCAGCGTTGGTGCTCCGGAGATCGGCCGAGCAACACGTGACTGGGATTTTGTCAGCACACCGTCGACCTACAACTTTGGTGGATCCAGGGCGTAAATCTCGACAACCCAAATTGCGGATGCCTAAATTCCGATCCGACATAAATCGCGACGTTTGCGAAGCGCAATGGAGTTCACAATCCACAGCCTCCACTATCTGAGCTGCAAGTCGCCGAATCAGAGTCAGCGGAGCTTGCTACTCTTGCTACCTAGGTCCTTGCCGGATACGTCGATCACCGAGTGACCGAAGATATTCGGAATATAAGAGCAGTTGAAGACCTCCGATTCCTTCATACGAGCCTTCATTACACCTTCCAACACAAAATGTCATCACCGAAACTTATCGTTCACCACCTCCAAATCGGCCAAGGGGAGCGCATCCCATGGCTCCTCGAGGAGCTCAACATTCCTTACGAGTTGAAGCTGTACAAACGCTCGCCACTTCTGTCACCACCTGAGCTTCAGGCGGTCTACCCTATGGGTGCTTCACCCGTCCTTGAAGACCTTACCGATCCGTCCAACCCCGTTAAGATTGCCGAATCTGGCGCCATCACCGATTACATCATCCACAAGTATGGTAACGGACGGTTGGCCCTAAAGCCGCAAGACAAGAACTTCGCAGACTACCTCTACTGGCTTCATTTCGCGAATGGCTCGTTGCAGTCTGGACTGTTCAGAAGGGGCATGTCGCGCGGCATGGTTGGCGAAGACGACCCTCGTTACAAGGGCCAAGTCGCACGTTGTGATAAGATGCTGAGCCATATCGAAAACCGTCTTCAAAACAACAAATGGCTTGCAGGCGAGGAGTTCACCGCTGCCGAGACCATGACGGGGTGGTGCTTCACAACGATGCGCAAGTTTGAGCCAATGGACTTGACCAACTACCCGGGCATTTTGGCATGGCTGGGTCGCATTGGTGAGCGCGAAGCTTACAGACGCGCGATGGGTAAAGCCGATCCTGATCTCGACATTGAGCAGGGGATCAGCGCAAAGGGTCCTCCGATGATGGAGGCATTCGTGAAGGCTATGGCGATGAAGCCGGGGTCCATATGATGGTTGGGGAGCTGCGCGGCTGATCACCATGGAGGTCGCCAAAAGCTGTAAATAATGATAAGAAAAAAAAGAATACTAGCTCCGCTCAAGAAATGGAAAATCTTCTCATCGATTTTCTGGTTCAATGCATCTTCTGTTGATGATAGTGATGCTTGACATGTCGCTGCATGCGTGTGCGACGAAGATAGCCCGGGATGGTCGGCCGCGTCCTTCCGGGTCCACTTTGACGCGAGTAGTCAGGTACAACAACACGCCATGCCTCCGACCTCATCATGGCCACCTGATCCATCACACCACTCTGCCGCTGCAGGTACGCGTCGCATCATCACTGGGATGATTTCGAAGGTCCCAGAAATTGGTAGCGTAGCATGAGCGTGACCTGAGAAGATCGTGGTCATGGCGAGCGGGGTTTCCTGCCAACCAGAGCGGTGGTACAATGAGATCACATAAAGCTTGCTGACCCCTCACGAGGGCATCTCCGCATCTGGGTACAGCTACATAGCTTGCTTCGAAGACACTTTCCAGCTAATCATACTGCTCAATTGCACTCTACTTACTTTCAGATCACTACTACAGCTTCAGCTACAGCTCCTCATCATGGCAGCAAAGTACTCTCGCCGACCCAGCTACCTTGACGGCCCACTGTCTCCTTCCATCATCCCCGAGCTCGCGATTCTACCTCAGCCTCTCCCTGCCGACAAGGTTCCCTGCGGCCAGCTCGTCTCCAAGACGTCAAAGTACACATCCAAAGCCCTCGAAGACCGCGACTACGATGACATTGGCACGCGATGGTACGCCAAAGACTATACGTCTAATCCATGTACCATATACTGACTTCCTCAGGTACAAAGACGTCATCTTCTTCAACGCCGAGAACGGAAACTTCGTCGAGAGCTTCGGCGGCACGCACCTACTACAGAAGCCGCTTGACAAAGGCACAGAGGCTGGCACAATCGAGGCGGACGAGCAGAGTGTGCGACTACTCAAGGATGCCGATTCCGCACTCCAGAAAATCTGGCAAGATGAGGAGGCCAGGAAGTGGATCAAGGAACAAGACGAGGCTGGCTTCGTCGTCGCCCATCGCCAGGTCTCCAACGCGAGCTACAAACGCGCCAGGCTTGTCGACATTGGCAACAACAATTGGGAAGTCGTGCGCGAGGTTGGCAATGAAGACGCTACTGGTAAGCGCAGGGACTCGGGCCTGCCTGTAGAGACGAACAGCAAATGGGACGTGGTAGGAGTTGTGGTTAAGAAGATTATCGTTGAGGGCGATGATGTGAAGCTCGGTGATGAGCTCGGAGCTCAGTACTGGCAGTAGCAGTATAGCTGAACAATCTCATAGCACATGTACATTTCTTACAAGTTTAGCAACTTGTCGAGCATGCATCTGTCTTCCGTGTGATTGAACATACACGAAATGCCATTTCGGCAAATTCTGCGATGTTTGCTCGCGGGTACTCTGATTGGTCACTTTCAAGACATGCGGCCGTTAGACCTTCCATGACAACACAGGAATGCAGGCATATCGCTGACATATAGCATTGTTCTTGCTGTGAAAGCAACGTATGATAAGCGCATGTTGTTCGGCACAGGAATCATGACATGACGTGCATGTCTTCATTGAGCGTCAATCGTAGGTGTAAGCAAACCAACGATGGGTTGCGATGCCTTCATATCATGTACATGGGAAGTATATAAGCCTGTCCATCTACCTGTATATGCATCCACACACAACTGGCACCATATACCATAGTTGACACTCCTCTTATACCTAGCTTCCAGCTAAGACGAACATGACGCCGTCATCGAGCGACCCAACTGTC